TGTTTTCCATCGTATCCCGTCCTGTATTACCAAGACAATGGCCTGCTGCTCTCTCTACAAAACTTTTGAATGGAACGGCCTCTGCCTATTCTCACCCCAGTTTATCAAACCACACACCCACACAGCAACTTACACTATCACCCCTACCAAATATACCGGATACATTAGCAAAAAACCGATCACACTTCCATATTTTTACCTCTGATCCCCTCAACACCACAGAATTTCCAGATACCACTGTCACCAAGCCACATTCTGCAACGGTGACTGTCCTCGCTACCTCACCAGCGCAATCTGAGGTCTCCAATTCTACCACATCTCTTCTGCATTTCTGCCCATTATGTCCGCGCTCGTTCCGGGTCTGGAAAGGCACTTGACAACTTGTTATAACTCATCTTAGTTGTTTCAACTCTTAATCGGAACGGACGAACATTCTCCACAGTTAGTATCCTATGCATGAAGTGTAGCTAGTTAAATTCGTAACGTTGCAGGCTCACGAAACCTAGCCTGAGACCGGAGTCGAAACGCTAGGTTACCTAGCACGACTGCACTGAGACCTGAACGACAGAGACTGGTCGTTAGCAAGAGTTCTTTTACTGACTCAGAGAGAGTCTCGGTTAGTGTCAATATGGGTTTGTGTGGTAACTGCCATAGCAACTGAGGAGTTCAGGTGATTCAATGTAGCCTGTCATGATAGACACAGTATTGTCATGAGGAGTTCAGTGGGTTCATTGCAGCGTACACGGTAGATGCATGTAACAAGAGTAGAGCTCATTTGGTTCTTTATGGCTTGGCATCTATGTCCTGCGAACGGCTCGGTTGTTACTAGCGCAGACTGAGTCGCTGCACAGTGATTGCATGTCTGGGTGAGCCCGGCGAAATCAGCGCGTTTCACGGTGCTATGCTAGCTCTGTTACACAGCCCATCGTCACAATAATTCTGCTTTGCTCTTCTTGGCGTTCGGATACAATGGCCCACGGTTTAAGTTTCAGATTTAGCCTTACTCAACATCATCGCCTCACTCATTCCGTCTAGCACAATGCAGATCGTTAAGCTCACATTCCACTTTATCTACACTTTTTGTCTGCTTTAGATGACGCCACATTATTGACTAATGCAGAGAAGTTGCTACAGTTCACTACCTCTTCCGGATCTTCTGTCTGAACTTAATTAATCTTTACCTACGCGATCGGTTGATAGTTTAAAAAGATGCTTAAAACACTTGAGCTAGTACTACTCTACCTCCGGTGAGCGATATCCTACACCAATCGTCATCTCCCATTGTGTCCAATTTCACTTCCGTCGACCGCGTGTGGAGTCCACGGGAAAATCACTCACCGACTGCATCCCTCTTCATGCTCATATGACTGAGGGGTAAACCTTACACCTTCCATTTTGCTAAATCCCGCAAGCATTCTGAGGTGTTGTCCATCTCCCGGGGCTCAATTTCAGCATCTGCTTATCAGCTTTCTACTCTGCCTTGAAGTCTGAACCCTGACGATATTTCCCGCCTAAGTGTGCTGGCAACCGTTGACTTCACTACCGTTACAACTGCTACTGAGGATTCCGTAATTTTTCGTCGTTTGTTTACGTATTCGCATAAGCTATTATCCTCATCAGCTACTCTGCTATACGCTAGTGCGTCGCCTTTGCTAGATATCGAAAGATGGATCGAACTCAATTTTCACTGAATTCGGCTTGTATCTCTTTTTCCTCATACGTGGAAGCCTTCAAAACGTCGTTCTGTTTATAAAGCCTCTTTAAATAACCGCCAACGTTGCCGATTTTGGTTTGGGCATATCTTCAGCGTTTATACTACTTTCGTCGACCTAATGCCGCCGCCACTGTTTTGGATGGAAAGCTGCTTACATGCTGAAGGATGAGCAGATTCCGAGTTTACTGACTTCTTATCAGACGTTCTTTCTCCTGTACCAGACACCCGTGGTCCACGCCCGCTGCGAGATCTTAATCTCGACTTGACACGATCATTGTCAGCCGAAGAAATTGTTTCCACTCTTCGGCTTACGGAACGCGCTGCACTCTGTGTCGATCGCAATACTGGGAAAGATGTTGCCCGTATGAACCCTGTTTTTGTCATTCCCCTTTCAAGCCGTCGTTCTGCATCTTCCACTACCGGCCCCACATGAACGTTGCCCGGATTACCTTCGTACCCAAGATTTTTAATCCTTCACATTCCGAATACTTTCAACCCATTTCCGTGACTTCTCTCTTTACCCGCCTACTTCACTGCATTCTCTTTGACAGACGAGATCCAACTTCCTCTGTGGATCGTCTTCATTTCGGTTTTCTACGCGAGGATGACTGTTCCGAAACCTCGACTATTCCTCACGCCATGTTTCGTTCTTCTCACGTGAATCTTACGCTATTTTTCGTCGCTTCATTTGATGTCTTTTGACTCCATTTCCCACGGTTATTTACTCCGAGCCGCATTCTTCCTGTCGGATTATCTTTTTTTCTTATAGTGTCACCGCTGTTTCTAGTTTTAACGTGATAAGCGTTCGTTCACAGTTGGGTGTCCGACAAGGGGACCCGCTTTCTCCATTGCTCTTCATCATGATTTTGGACGAGGCCATACATAAGTCTGCATCATCTCAATGTTCTTGCCCTTCTGGCCCTATAGATTACGTGCCTTGTGCTGACGATCATCTTTGCCCGGGACCAGGCTTCCTTGGTGGATCATCTCAGAACGCTTCATGAAGACTTTCTTCTCTTTGGCCTATCAATTAGCCAACTGGTCGACTACACTCAGTATCGCGTCAACTGTATAAGAAAAACTACTATCTTGGACACATCTCCACTCTCATGTTCTTCGATCATCATATCATCGCTATAATCGGAGTAATCGTTATCTCAGCATTCCGTGCAACCGGAAAGGCAAATTGCCGCCTGCATCCCTAGAACAAATACGCTCCCATCTTCAAGAGACCTCCCGTGTTCTTTTGAGGATATACCAGCGATTCGAAATTTTTGGAGGCTTCTTGGTACTCCATCACACTCACAACCTCTCTTTGACGGTAGTACATTACTATATCTTAGAGAACATGGATAAATTAGTTCGTTCCCATCTACGCAAATGGCTACAGCTGCCAGAGGATACACCGGTTGCCTACTTTCACTCAGTCATCGAAGATTTTAGCTTCGGCATACCATCTCTGTCCACCATGACTCCCCTTCTTCGGAAATCCCGCCTGGAGCGCCATCTGCCGAAATCCCATTTTATAGCCAGTTGGGCGATTCGCGCCCTTTATCTTTTGCATTGTCATAGCTCCCGTCTTTGTGTCCCGACAGTCCGTCCTCAACAAGGCTTCTGCGAAGGGGGCTTCGAAAACGGCATTTTTTAAATCTGTCTATTGTTTCCTGCTCTGGGACATTCCAGCTGCACCTTCAGCTCATCATTGGTTCAGGTAGCCAGCAAAGATCTTTCATCGGTTATTCATAAGGTGAATTCAGCTGTAGGCAAGGATCCTCACAACAAAGGCGGCGAGCCGAAAATAGATTACCTCTTTCAACATCCATTCCTCATTGCTTGTGGCCTGGAGGAAACGCTCTCACACGTCCTCCAGCCGTGTGCACTCACACACGATCCTCTGTTTAAAAGGCATAACGACTTCCCTACACACTTTGTGATTGCAATCCACCATCGGGGTACTCAGATTACGCCCAAATTTAGAATACCCACTTTGAGCTCCTTTAACAAGTTCTTCTATCAAGGAGACTACTGAAAACAGACAAATATGGTGTCGGTCCGCGTGCAGAGGCTATCTCCAGATATGTGCGATCACCCTTTCCGCAATTGTCGAACATTATCCACAATCCAGCGGTTTTGAACAACAAACTTACTTGTCCTGCTACGGCGACATTACAAGTCCCTGGGTCTTTTGTGGTTCGACATTTCGGATCTGTGTGTATCCACTGTTCGCAGGACACAGCATGGAAAACACTTATATGCGCGGAGCCTCTTCCCTACAGGGTACACACGAGGTACAAGCCCACTGACCGACTTGGTGTGCGGTTCCGCCCGGTTTATAAATTTCTTTATTCTGGTCTTTCGTTTCCGTATTCTGCCGGGACATTGTCCTGTCTTGGCAATTTGCTTTAAGCCCTGTACTTGGGCTATGCACACAAGTTGTCGAAAATAATTGTTACTATTTCACGTATTGTGAAGCTATGACGTGCGACATCTGTGGCGTCAGAAAGGCCGTGTCTATCAGGCCACGGTGAGGGCCGTCCTACCCTATAGCAGTGAGACTTGGCCGCTTCGCTCAGGGGATCTGAGGTGTTGTCTAGTCTTTGATCTTTCTTGCTTGCGGAGCATTACTAGTGTCAGATGACATCTAGGTATCCACAACTATGACGAGCGTAGGTGATGTGAATCATGCTAGTTTGTGACTGTTTTGTATGCCTTGTCACCGGGAGGGGGTCTTGTTTTGTTTACTGAGTATTCGAGGTGTGCAAAAGTTGACCTTCTAGGCTACAAACTTTAGGGAACACGGCTCGTAGCCAGCACAATTGGCACGTTTGCTCTAGTCCTATCTGATGGTGATTTTTCTATAGGACTAGATGGAATTCCACGCAGGACAGTGAATGCTTCAAGAAAGCTGTCTTGTCGATACCTTCCCATCTTCTTGGCATGACAGCCAGCTGTTTGTGACTGTGTATTGTTGACAAGGTGTGGGCTCCTTAACTCTGAGTGTTCACTAAGACATTAGAGCTTTTCACGGGGTCTCCGTTTTACTATTCCTAGGTTAATTTGTCTGTACGGGAGCGAAACATCACTTTAAATACCTAAGGTGAAAACGAAATTGTTCAAGGCATTGTGAGTTCCATTGCGAATCCCAAATCTTTCTATTCAGCAAGCATTCCAGTCTCATAGTCACTACGTTACCTGATTACAATCCTGTGGTTTGTTAGTTTCCTGGCTCTCGCACACTCCGGTGACAACCCCGTGTCCTGTATATGTCCTTTTCCTTTCCTGCTAGCCCTCGGGCCCTGGCAACGCCTGTCACTCTGGACTTCATTCCACCGATAACCTGTGTCCATCGTCTCTGTCTTCCCGAATATTCCACCGCTTGGTTGCGTCTTTCCATCCTCAAGGCGCGTTTGCTCGAAAATCGTCATCAACTTCTGGATGCCGACACTTGCATCAATTCGGTAAAGCCGTATGAACGACTTGACCGGTAGTAATGGTAGCGCCTATTCACCTAAGTTAAGATCACGATCGTCAGATGATGATATTCTAAACGGTTAACCATACCCTCCATGGCTGTTCACTCACTCTGTCTTGTGGATACTTTAGGCTTCTTTGTTTGTATTCTTTTTTCGGTTACTGCAGTCAGCGGTGATGTTCCATCGTTCGACTCGTATTCACTTTCTACCGCGCCGTAATCATCGTCACAATTCTTGCCCATCCCTTGTTTACTGTTGTGTGGTACTCGTTTCTTCTTTTGGTGCGTTTCTCTTTTGATCATATGAGAGTTCCTAACTTGGCATATTTTTGTATAAATGATAGCAATATTTGTTGTGTTTACTCTTAATCGACTCCATGGCGCTGCCTATTGCACGTTAATGTTGACCACATTCGGATAGCTGGGGGGGGGGGGGGGAGAGAACAGATCACTGCTGTCAATTTTAGCCCTCCTACGGACAGTGTACATCATCTACCAAGATGGTGATTTGGAATGGGCTGAGATCGATATGGTTCTGCTTTAAAGCACTGTTTGAAATTGTACGCCCCATGAGCTTTACTGTGTTTTATGCTTATGTGACCCTAGTCTGAAACAAATTTATGGTCCTTTCACCGGTTCTCTTATTTGTGGATTCCTCTTCGTATTCCGCTCATCCTAGCAGCTATCACCCGGTATCAAACCAGTTAGACCAGTCCCCATGACTCACCTAGTCAGCATAACAGAACTCGTCTCAACTCAAGCCGGGTATGTGCTCTATGAACCCATGAAGGATAAACATTCAGTTGTGATACATTTTACGGACAGGGATCAATAATGAGACAGAATAGTGCACGAGGATAACAATAAAACCACATTACTGAAATAATTTGCTAACCAGTTTTTGAATGAATTTTATATCGTTTTACTGATTTGTCTCAGCTGCTCACAAGCCAGGTAGTTTAACTACTAATCCGGAAAAGCTCCAGACGATCGTTTCGCACATTCCCTAGATTACTGGCTGTTTGGCACAATCTGCTAACGACCATGGATTCGACCCCCTGCAGGAGGCGCAAGCCTACATAGTTTTCTGGCTTTGTCTGGTCGAGGAGCTTGATACACTTCGGACAACGCCCTGTGGAGTAGATGGCTTGCATCAGTGCGCATTTTAGATGCAAGCTTGTTACAGGAGTTGACATGACTTGGTGGTACAATGATCTTAACAAGTTTCAGCCATGATATGTCACTACATCAGGACAGATATTTCATTGAAGTGGTAAGTATTTTGGGGTACTTGCTCAGGAGACCAGAAGAGATCACGGGAGAGCAATAGGTCTAGTAGCCCAACATACATGCAGTGATAAAACGCTAGATCGGCGGGACCTTTGAACTGGCCGCTGTCGCTCTCCCCCAAAATATCGTTTTTTGCGCTATCTACTGCAAATGTATCAATACGGTATGACTACTTCGACGAATTCTTTCGCTGAACAATTTCAAGGTCACTGAGGCCGCTCAACTCCACCGATTCTTTGAAAAAGTATCCGGGACACTGCGCACAACTCACAGTTTGCTGCCTTTGTTCAAATGAAACGAGCTATCAATAAACGTTTTAACAAAAGTTGGCCTCGTCAGCTGGATGAAGAATCTTATAATTCGTTCTATCAATATGCGGTCGTTGCTCAAAGATGCGGGACTGATTACTTAAGTGATATATGTGCACTCTGCAACCATTATCTTATTAGAATTGTAAAATTCTCTTATTTACTAATGTTGTTTATATCACATTTGTGGTAGATAGTGTAAAATGCGGAAAAAGCATCCATCTGGTTGCATAAAGCTTTCCTTGACTTAACTTGGATCAGAAAACCGGATACGTAAGAAGACCTAAGTCGTTTAACATGGAATCAGAGTCCCCTAGCTTTAGTAAGTATTTCGTTCACCTAAATGGACTACGTAAGCTCACTGCTCATTTTGACATCCAAGGATTTTACTGATGTGAAAAGTGTCAAACCTACACCATTATTGCAATGCGTTCGGCTTAGCTGGTTCCGATTTCCTTTGAATGGCGAAAAGAGGACATATATTTTCATTCTGAGTTGTTCAACTGTATGTAACAGGGTTTGGACCAATCTGTGAAGTTGTCCAGGAGAGGTTGTAGTTTGGTCAATGACACTATGCTGCTTGGATGGTGGACCCAGAGATTACGTCGTCTCCATACTTCAGCAGGATGATTTCTTCAGGGATGGGGATTGAGAGAATTTAAGTTTCTTAGAATTTAAACGAGTAATGCAAACAAAAGCTCTGCGGAACGGGGTGCACATCAAGAGTGCTACATTTGTATGGCGAGCAGATTACTAGCTGAAAGCAAAAGACAACTACGGTTAATACACAACCTCTTCGATTTCGATGCCCCTACTCGTGTTAGGTCGGTGTTTGCGTGCATTTTCGCCACTCACTAGGGCTATTTTAGAGCAACGTCTGTTCTCGGTCTTCATTAATATCCTCGCAGGACTAAGGTGAATGCCAATCAGCGACTTCTTCCATGTGACCATGTGGTCAACCCGAAATCTGCTGCAGTTCAGCGTGAGATAATGTAACGCATTTTCCACAAGACACCTACTCCTACGCGTTCGGAACACATTTACTGTGGTCTCCCGTTCGTCGAACGCGGTGTACTGGTTCAGGTGGTTTGGGCTGTTTCAAGCAATCCGACTAGTCATTGGAAGCTGACAACCAACACGTCGGACTTCTGCGACCCGCGTTCAGGCATATAGGTCTGTCTAGTTTTCATCAAACATTCAGCACTCGCGTCCGTCTACACGTCAAATAATTAGTTCAAACCTGGAAGGCGTGCTTAAAACACGATTTCCTTGCCCTGGATAATCTCAACTTCGAGAGTCTAAGTACGTGATTAGATTGGTTAATCTCCCGTAATAACAAAGGTTGAAATTCCTGGGATTATTCATTGGACGGTATCGTCGTTTATGAGGCGACCTACATGATCGTACAGTGTCGAAATCATGTATGCCGCTTATTGTTAGAGGTCAACAATAACACAGCCTTGGAATCCACTCCTTGAAACTAGCAGAACAGTACAGCCGCTTGCAATGCCTCGGAAGTTTCTGCTTCAACATACCATCTCTGGAATATACTCCCCGAATCGGCCGCTTCTGCATCGACACAAGATATTTTAAGAAGACAGTGAGATGACGCACTCACTGTCCCCCTATATATATCTTAATCGTTCTGAGGCGAGAATACAGCCAACATGGAAATAACCCGTCCATTTGAGACAGAGAAAACATGTTCATTTCCATGCTACAGTTAACCAATTAGAGCGTCGCGGTTAAGCCCATGGAAGCGCACCATCCCGTCTCTGCCTCCAAGCACAGACAGCTCACCATTTGTTCGGTGCGTATGAGACCAGTGCTCAAATTAGCAACAACTTTAACCGATCCGTCTCAACAGTGACACTATCCTTGCTGGTGTGATAGATCGCAAACACAGGCGATATGCAATAGAGTAGTACATTGCACAGTAACGAAGCTGTGCAAATTGAATGAGGAATAATCAAAGTGTTTCTTTTGGATCACTATCCAAATTGGTTCTCAAAAGGACAATAATAGGCATGCGGTGAAGGTGGCAGCCTATTTGTCTGGTCCTCTATGCACGTCAGCGAGATAACAAAGAGCAATACAGCTGAGGGGACTAATTGGCATTCAAGAGGTTGACGAAACACACCGATGAAGAAAGTATATGCGGAGAGAAGAGAATAAATTAAGTAGTTGTTGAATATTGTTGATGTTCCTTGGGGTTCCGAAGCTATTCAGCGAGCCTTGGATAAGCTTTGGTACTGGTCTACTTTATGGTTACTTCCCATAAATCAAGCAAAGTGCTCCGTTCTTCGAATTGTAGAAGGTTGTCCTCCTGCGAAGTACTTGGTCGGTGGGGTCCAACTCCTTGTGTATCTAGTCAGGTCTAAGTGTCGTACACTCTACAACTTTACACCTCGGCGACAAGTGGAAGAAGACTGCAAGCAAAAGTTTCCTGATGTTGTTGATAATACGCCGTTCTTTCCGAATGACGAGCGGCACCTTTGTGAGACTGTTCTCGGCTTTCGTTCAACTTCATCTGGAGTACTGCGTCTAGACTTGTCCGCCCTGCCTCGTTCGGGATAAAATGGAGCTAGATTGGGTTTTACTGGTGGTTACTAGCTTGGTTGCGGAGATACGGCGACAGACGTAAATCGAGCGTCTATTTAGTTTTGGAACGCATTCAATGCACTACCGAAGGCTTAGAGGAGATCTATTCCTAATCTACTTTATATTAACTGGGATAGTTGGTCCGGATTTGTCTTGGCTGTTCAATCCCACCGGATTATCTGTTCATTCCATGAAGCTGGACAAATCGCGGTCCGATGGGATTAGGGCGAAAATTCGGTTGCCACGCCGAGTCAACGAGCACTGGAACATGCTACCGGGATTGTTATCAGGGAATCTGCGGTTAAGGGGTTTGAGCGTCAACTTGACGCTCTTGGGTAGCAACGCTGAGCCTTCACCTTTTCCTGATTAACTCCCATCTTTACACTTCGATCTTATTTTCTCTACTTTCCTTCATATGAACTTCCTTATTCTGTACCTTCGATTTCTCTTCCTATCCTTTGCTTACTTCACGTGAGTGCCACAGCAAAAACTGCTGTAATTGGTTGGCCAGGGTGTGATAGGTGTTCCGAGCACCTCATTAGTTCCTGGCTCAACGACCCACTCGAGAAGGAACACTCACGGGATTCTCCTATCGTTTCATTCCTACTTAAACATGAAATAGTTGACGACATCGGGTGTAGGATTGGGGTGTGCCATTACTAGGGCCGGAAACGACATAAGACTCCCCAGCTAACCAACGACCAGTTAAACAAGAGAATGAAATTGTCAAAAAGTAGATGTAAATAAAGGAGAGACAGTAAAAATGATTCTGTTTTAAATGTGACGTGATGATTTCCTCGCAGCGCCCTTATTGGCCAACTGTGACACGAGGATGAACGTGCTTTTTTCACGTCAAAAGGACTGGTTATCTCCATCTCCAATGAGTTGGGAGATTAAATCCCTGTCCCTGACTCGTCTTGTTTCCTTTGGCACAGTGTGGCCATGCTCACTTTATTCCTGACGTATGAACATTCCGTTTCAACAGATGGTTAATGTATTTAAATCCATCACGATCGTGCCGATACGCGTTAGCATTCCGCTTGGTAATTGTAGATGATACAACCATCTGGCTAGGCGAACCGATTCACTTCTACCGATGAGGAAAACAGCGCACACTTGCAAAGCGCTGCTGTAGTGTTTCCTACTCACGAGATTGTTTTGCGCATGACACCAGTTTTTGCACGCACACTTATTATTCATGGTGTGAGTTCGAATCCAACCCCACTATGCTATCCGCTGATGGGAAGAGTCGTTCAGGACTTTTTCAATAGGTAGTTATAGGGACGGAAGTTCAGCCATCCTCCACTTGTCGTTAATAACTAACTGAACAGTTTGCTGTGAACCAGTGCAACACGAAACGTGGTGCACTTACAGAATAGAGATGGCTTACTATGGCACGCACCTCCGGAAAAAAGCGCAATCAATCGAATCAAAGCCGATCTTCAAACTAGCTAGACCCACCTCTATACGTGGCTTAAAACAGTTGTGGACCATGATGTTGTGTCTGAATGGTGGTGGGCGGAGTTCTACTCTTTCAGTTGAAATGGGAAATACAGTTCTATTGGGCACCGAAATTTCAATAGGAAACCAAGATATACGTTGTTTCCGTTCATAAACAGGTTGCTCACTAGATTCCTAAACACTGTTTAGGTAGGTTACTTTACGTTTGCTTTCGTGAATTTGCCAGCACGTCCTTCATTTTTGTCGCCATGTTTCCTTTTTCTGTTTCTTAGTTCTCATCTTGGCCATGCCACGAGGCTTGCTAAGCGAGTGCTTTGCTGTCCGTAGTAAATCATTATTTCATTCAATCGCTGGCAAAGCGAAGGATGGCGGTGCTACAAAAACGGTCGTTCAATAGAAATGCTAATAAGTGTAGGTCCCTTTAAGTGAAGTAAAAACTGAGATAGACGGCTAGATGACCCACTCAAAGATTTACAGAGTTGGAGAATAATTAGATCTCGGAAGGACCATCAACTGATTCTCTGTGTACTCACTTTGTAGGTCACTAGAGCGTTTATGTCAAATACCCCATCATGAGTGAGATCGTACTGCGTCTGGATCTGATTGAATGTGTCATCCACGGGCTGACGGCCACGGACACGAAGTTTCCGCTTAGTGCTACTTGGACATACCCACAGGGTAGCCGTGCCTAGCTGCTCGATTATGTCATCACATGTCGGTGTGACCTGAACAGGTGCGCGTTGTCTTGCGAGGTGAGATAGAGTGTTAAGTGGCAGTGGATTAGAGCACAGAACACTGAGGAAGTGTTCTGCTACTCAGAAGCAATTTTTTGGACTTGATTCATAAATTCAAAAAATTGCTTGTGAGTTGGGGAATTTGAACGAAAATTGGAAATGGTTCGCTGTGGTTAACCATCCGACGAACCCTCCTCCTCCAAATGGCCGTTGCATCACATTTATGACAACCCGCCGATCGAGACCGAATACCGGCGCAGTTGCACTCATTTGTCTGATGACTTGGAGAAATATATCAGTGCGTCGATAAGCGCTGATCGTTCCATAGATTAGCAAGCAAAGACGTTGTAAGAAATAAGCTCTCTGTTGTTAAACAGTGCGAACAAAGTAGCGGTAGAACAAAGCTGTAAAAAGCGAGATAAGGCCTAAAGGTAAATACTACGAGGAGTGGAGACCAAAGTCAACAAATGAAGAAAGGCGCAAAAAAATTCACAGACGGATTCTGTCCAATTCACCTATTCTGTCGGGACACGAAAACAGCTACTGCAGAAAGAAGCGCGGTCGCAAAATATACCGAAGCAGTATATGTACACATTTGTATGCAAAAAACTACCAAAATGAATGTTCCGCTAGGTGTTCATCCAATGACCGAACCAATCAATTTTGGTGGTCCATGCTCCGTAATATGCTTCGTTAAATTTGGTGTGAAAGTAGGCCAACGCTTGTGCTTCGTCCAATTCCACAGCCAACGTTTTGCGTACATAATCCAAATCACAAGTGGATGTCAGCTCTGGCAATCCAGAGGGAAGCATCATTGCTAAAAGGGTGAGCAGTAGATTAGCATGCTTCCGCAAAGACATGTAGGCTCGGGCACACAACTGGGTGAACTCCTGGAAGTAAGGATTACGTGATCCACCGCCTCCAGTCTCAGTCACGGGCGAGCCGAGAACCACATCCGGATTCCCGCGAGCGATGACAGTAATGAAGTCTTTGGTTAGAACAAAAGGGACGCGCTCTCGACTGATTCCGAATTTCTTCTTCCGATTGTCCAAAATGTGGCCGAAATCGATATGAAACAACCGGCCGCTTGTGTCCACCATAATATTATCCGGATGTCTATCACGAATGCCTAAGACAAAGGTGGCAACGCAGTAGCCAGCACAAGAGACGGTGAAATTGTGAATCAATCGGTCGAATGCCTCCGCCGAATGCGAAGCGTGGTCGTGACCGGTGGTGATGTGCTGAGTAAGCCATTTGTACAGCTGCGTTGAATCGATCTGAAGTGCTGCTCGGAGACGGTCCCCCTGAATGGACATAACAGTGCGTGCGTTTCGCACCGCTTCGATGAGACCCATCTCTGGACCCGTAGCTAGGCAACCGTATGGGACCAAACACATATTCATACCTTCCTCTTTCCATATACGATCCATTACCTGAGGAATAGAAGATAAAACAACAACAACAACAACAGATTCTGTTACTTCGCAAAGGCCAGTAGAGTGCCAGCATAGAAAAGGAGTGACGGGCAACTGACACAAGACATGGCAGTGGTGCAGCATTCCAATTTACCAAAGTGATACAGCTTTGTTATCTGTCAGCCGTTCACAGCGTAAACCTATGGCCAATCTGTTAATGGGCTCGGAGACGTCAGCTTCATTACAACGAATGAGCACCAATATGCAGCTAGACATCACCACCACACAGAAATGGATGGCCAAGATTCCGGTTTGTGTTCAATACCGGGTGTGCGGAAAGTGATCATTGATGGTGGGTTGCGTCAAACGCATTAGCGCTTGCAAAGGGTAGCGGAAGGCTTTAGGACAATTTTAATCGACGTGAGAAATTAGGAAATGCCAGCCTCATAAACATATCACTAATCCATGATCTATTAGACTGCACAGTCAAGCCTCCAGGTAAAATCGCCTGGCGATATGTACAGGCGATGAACTTCATCGGTCAAAAGGGAGAGGTTGCGGTTAGAATTCAGTTTCGTAACCTCAACCAAGAAGTTGATCACACTATATGAAGCTCCGGGGTCATAGATATATAATTTGTGCGATTTCATAGTACATTGATCAGGTGAGTTGAGCCATCGTCAATGTACTGTGGGTCATCAACCGCGTCAGTTTAGCAAATAGATTGATCGCACACGTCAAATGCATTAAGGGTTGAACGTGAGAGAAAAACCCGATAGGTTCATAGCATTCCATGGAGAAATGCGACGGATCGGTCGCTTCTTACTCGTAACAGCTGCAGCGTCAGCATATCTTGCCGAAGATCATCTCCATGTTTGAAAATCAATTGATAATGCCCGAGATGATGCGCTGCAAGTCGATCCGAATTAGTCCAGACGAGCCACAACGGTCGCTTCTTCGATCGCTTGACATCGCATTTGCTGATAACAATGTTACCGAGGCGCTCACTCAAGCACAGAGGAGAAGGAAGCCACTGTAAGTCCCGCTGTGCCTCTGGGCGAGAGATCTCATCCCGAAAACGTGCACGTTGATCGTCTTCATTGCTCAGTTCCTTCACTCGTGCACTGATTGCTTCCAATCGGTTCAGCGCGGTTACCTGACGTACCAAAAATGTGAGAAGTGGGCCACACCCCAAACAAAACGCTTCCAATAAAAGTCCGAACTTCACACGCATGTCTGGGAGGTGAATTTCGGACCGCAGGTGCCAGAAAAATCGGAGTCCGACAAGCAGAGGATTGCGGAGGGCACGGTATAAAATGAATCTGGACAAGGAATTGTCCAAGTACGATTCCGCTTTGAGTGCCTAAAAATAGAGAGGAAAACAATTATTCATGAAATTTCGAGCCGACCAACATAGCAAAAAGTCGCGATTGGGAATTATGGAGGCCATCGGTTAAAGTTTAAAATACAACGTTTATAAATAATGGTGTGGGAAAAGTGTACAGTACACAACGTCCATCGGCAAGCTCTATGTGGTGTGTGTGGATGTATGACAACGAAGCCAAGCAGAGAGAGATGCGAGAGAGTTGGGGAAATAACCCAGTTACGAAAAATTCTTTGTGACATTTTGGTAACAAAGAAGAGAGGGAAATGGTTCAAAATAAATGAAGCATGTGACAAAATTGGTGCGATTTCAGCATACCACACGGGGATAGAATATATTCACTATTGTGCATGCCGACAGGAATCAAAATAGAACAGTGAAGGACAACTCAAAGAACTATGCTCTATGCAAATGTCGAGCCCGGCACGGTAGAGCAAGAATAAGCAAGGGAAAGGTTTGAACCAATACGAGTCTAAACAGGAGAAATGTTGTTGAATATCGGGTTTTGGAGTACCCATGCGTGTCTTGGACTGCGACACGCAATCTCAACCTTTGCCATTCCAATCACTGGGGGGCTTCGGGGTTGCCCTCTCCCATCAATGCACTCCACAGCGCGTTTCGTCCTTGTTTAAATTTATCAGGCGTAGATAATCTGATCTGGGGGTCAAAATCGGCACATAATGTTTGGCAGCTATCGCCATGATCACCAGGCCATTAAGATTGCGTGTCGCAATAAAAGACACAAGGCGGTTACTACAAAACCAACATTCCACTTCTAACCGCTGCTCGCGGGGCTCAATGTGTCGAGCTCCATTCCCATTTCAGACTATCTCTACCTGATGAGTCCAAAGCAGGACGAATAAATAGAGAGAGAGAGAGCAACATCTAAACTGTCCAAAAGTTGTTTAGTTCAGTTGGCCAACTATGATCTGAGCACCAAAGTGTGGTAAATCCAGTTGCCACGACTCATCGCAAAAATTTCAATAAATAACTACGAAAAGATACTGGGGTTAAGGGCTAATAGAATGTAAAGAAAATTGAAGCAAGAAGGAAGTGCGTTAAACTAATCAGAATGAAACGAAAATTAACAACCAGACGCAAGAAACCGAATGCAGGAACGCCACTGACTGCGTGACTACGCCATGTCTGATACGGCCTCCAACTATCGTTGTGGACCATCTCGAGGCCCCCATCCACGAAGACGGCACGCACCCCCGCCTGTCAGTCAATTTTATCATGTCTATGCCACGTCATGCACTGGACACCACGTGGTTTCGCACAACCTGGTCTGCCGAAAAAGCCGGTCAACGGGCATACGGGAGACATCGCTTAACCAACGTGAGTGATTAATGCTTAGCAAACACTCGAGTGAGTCACTAGGCTTTTTACAAAAAAAAACCAACCTCAGCAGTGCTCGCCCGGTGTTCCCAGCAGATGTAATACTTCGCAAGCACTGATGGTCAAACACGATCAGGCGTTTAAGTTCTTCGCCGCGAACTGGCCAGGTATTTGATCTATACAGTAACACCGGTCTTACCGCAGGGTTATACACCCTGCCTTTTACTGACAAGCTGATATCCCGCCGTCTCCACAGATGGTTGTCTTTGGAAAGCCACATCAGCCTACCTGATACACGTAGTAACCTCAGTGATGTGATTACCAAAGTTGACACAGCTACCCAGGTAAGTGAACCGATCATTCGCACTTTGAAGGTGCGAAGCGGGCGGCGCTACGCGACAGTCCATTTAGTAGTGCTTGTATAGCCGCAGCGTCAGACCCAAGAATAGATATGTCGTTCGCATACTCCAGGTTTGTCAGTCGGTCACCTGGCAGAACTTCAACTCCGGTAGAGTCGGAAAGAACCGAGTGATTCATGACCATTTCGATCAAAAATTCAGAGGAAAATAAATATGGGAGAACTCTGGCGGATCCCACTTGTCGTGGGAAAATTCAGGAAACAGTTTCCCGTAGACCCTTGCACGTCCTCGGGAAAGTAATTTAGGCGGTACGTCCTTCATGGATAGGCAGTGACACAAGCTGGAGCGGTCAACAAAGTCGAAGTCAAGGAAAACCATCATAGTCTGTCGTCTGTATGCGTGTCTCTGACCTAACACATGACGAAGAGTAAATATGTGGTCGATACAACCACGACCAAGGCGGAAGCCAACCTGACCGTCAGCAGTTCGGTTCTCACGGAGAATGCTACCCGTGAGAAGTTTGGATACAACGGAAACAAGGCTAATGCCTCAATGATTTTCGCAAAAGTACGTCGTCCCTTCTTGGAGATGGACACGACAGTTGTCAGTCGAAAAGCACTGCTTTAGTGTTCCACATCGTGTTACATAGAGAAGCGAGTCCAGTGAACAAAATCACCACCATCTTTCAGCAAAAATGGAGGAAGGTCGTCTGGTCTAGTTTCATATCAACACGGAAAGCTCATATTGAATCTCTTCCAAAGTGGGAGGAGTGATATATACTTTCCACGTCGGCTCAGGTGGCAAGTGACAGTGTTGGAGCAGGCTTGCTAAACTGTTCTTTAAATATGTTCAGCCAAACGGGGTAGCCAATGAGACTGAGAATGGATCAACTGTCTGTATTTATCAAATATTGTTTCCTTAACTGATGATTTTCTCAGACCCGTGTTCCGGATGAGCTGGAGTAGTACTCGGCTGTTCTTAATAGCAGGCTTTCTCACGGGCGCTTGCAACCCACCAGCGGTCCCAGTCAACCCGAAGACTCCTTGTCGGACGTTGTTTCAGGGTTACAGATACGCTGAAACTTAATGTCCATCGAGACCTGTTTCCATGCTTCGAACAAGCTGATCGATGCCTCAGAGATCCATTTGCAGCTACGACCACTTAAATTGGGTGCAAACCATGAGTCGAAGGCATTCTTCACGGCACACTCAAGACGATCCCAGTCAGCGTTCCGCTCACTAACCTCATTCATTACTGACAATTGGTGGGCCAATTCTTCATGACGATGTTCAACCGCAGGCTGCGAATTTAGGTTACGAGTAATGTCAGAGAACAGGTGCTTCTATGAAGCGGGAAGAATGAGCACAAGAAGTGTGCGCACCAGAGTATGGTCGGAATCCAGGCAGGTGCTCCAAATTGACCGACAATCCTGCACTGATGTCCGCCATCTGTGGCTGACGACCATATGGTCAATTGGGGTTCAGATCATTGGGTGAACGTTTGTGGTGGGATCTGATTCAGGCTTGCCATACACAGCCTTTGAAGGTTTAGAACAATACACATGTGTTTTACGAACGTAGTATCATACGCACCTGCGATCACGGCCAGCCGCAAGTGGGAGTTGGCAGGTTTGCACCAATTCGACCAGGGGATGCCTGGCTTGAGACGGGTGGTAACAAATCGTTGAGCACCCGGAAGTGCCCTCCCACCGTCAGAGACAATGCGTGGCGCTCGTGCTCTACGCCAATCGAGCTGTAAGCTTATAACCCGTAGACCTGTTGTCTCCAATGGCTGGGTTTTAAAGGAAGAGGACCATTGACTTTCCTTAACCTCCGAAGAGGATCGGATTGTGATACTGACCCATAATCAATGAGCTATCTTGTATGAATGGCTCCGAAGGCAACTGGAAAGTGCCACCCAGGCTAGATCAAGGGGTACGTAGACCATCACATCAAGCTAAGGTTCAGTCTCGTTGCGATGGAAGAGTTCAAAAGTTGTTCAACAACAGAACATGAGGCTGATACATGCTTGACGATGATGAAATAGAGGAAAATGACTAAATATATTGAACAGCCCAGCAGCGAGCACCGCGCAAAGAGTAACAGTAACCGGACGGAAGGCAAACAACGGAATGAGGAAGCAAGTAGATTATGAAGTAGAGCAGTAAGATCACGGCAAAGCGTCAGGTCGCTTAGCGTCCGCAACAAGCATGCAAACTGGTCAATCGAGGACTGAAGAGTCCAATAGGCAATTTCACCACCAATACTGCCAGTTTCCATTCTGTGCAGCGACATACATCCCGATCAAAAGAAATGGTGATCCGGTCACCAGGACGTCAGTGAATTTAGAAGCGACTACATTCGGATATCCGACAAATAATCATGCGAGTAGTTAACTCTCAACACGGACACGCAAAAACATCTGACCAAAAAGCCAGGGCTCCACACGTTTGATCCATGATACGATGTTTCCTTGGTACGCACCGACAATGAGTGAAACTAAACTATCAAGTGGTTCCCTGATGAACAGAATCACAACCGACTAATTGCCAACCAAAAGAAGCTAACTGTTCAACTGACATCGGTGGTAGCGACATACACTGGTCGCCAGACTTCAAAATGTACTCCCAAAAGCAGGTATCTGAGTCTGCACCAGCATGCATATATATATATATATATATATATATATATATATATATATATATATATATATATATATATATATATATATGTATATATATATATAAGCATCTTTTGAGCGGACGAAAGGCGTGCCTGCGAATAGTTATATCATCGACACGTTTATCCTAGTGCAACAAACAACACTGTGAATTATGACGGTCTGCCATCGCTTCCACGTCTCAGTGTTACAAGCTGCTGGCCAGTGGCCAATGTCCGGTTCCTGATGGAGCCGGAGGATGTGCACAGCTGACAAGCCCCAACGAGGTGAAATGGCCGTCTGGCGCTTCTATGGATTGCTGATCAGATTATTCGGTTTGTGAGCTGAATGAGTGAATAAAGGAAAGAAGCAGTGAATAAGTTGCTTTTTTGTCGAGTGGGAGATGGTTCAAAATTCGAGATGGGAAGTTGTAGATGAAATCAGTGACAACTAAGCTGGGCGCACCACACATCTAGAAAAAGGCGAGGAGGCCGTTTCATCTTACTGAGAGTTGCCAGTAGCGCGCACCCCATGATTCGAACCCATGACCTTACTCTTACGAGTCAGCAACTTATGCCACCGAGCCAGGCGTGACGGCGGCGGACCGCCATGTTTGATATCTAACTGCGATATAGCGCGGCTCATCCTCCACTGTCTTGCATATTATGAATGTGCAGAGGACGGGACCGGCTCCCAGAGCTACGGCTTCCTTCGCAATAAACCCCCCTACTATTCGCTACTAATCAGTAATTGCGTCAGCAGTTTACATGCTACCTCGATTGGTGGCGGCTTGAAAAAAAGCTGTTTTGCCGATACCACCATATCTACACACTGTTTACGGCTATCGATAAGGTGTATGCGATCTGACCCAAAATGTTTCATTAGGACATTTGGGTTTTAAACTAGGCCCCTCTTCTCTCCATTTTAGTATTCCTCATTACCTATATTATTATGGCTGTTACTGCGAACGATCAGTTCGGATTACTAACGCACTATTGCTGGCGCCGCAACGACGATGCGCATTGGAAGCAATATGGTGGAACCAATGGTAGCTACGCTATCGGACCACTTCAAGGAGTGGCATAAAGCGATGGTGTGGGAACGACAATCATGAGCCAACATAAGTGGATAGTTCGAAAAGAAAGCATGGGCGCACTCGATGCTTACTTGAACTAACTGTAAAAGGTAGTCACTCAACTCCGTATCGGATAGGCTATACAAGCTGTCCACAGCGAGAGCGCGTACATTGGCATCCGCGATTCCGCTAGCACCACCACGGGTTCCGTTACCCGCGGCCGACTGGACGATAGAGAGAGCACTACCTGCGTTCAAACCCATTGCACCGAGCAGTTGTAGAGCCACGGTAACAGGCAACCGGCGGGGCCAGGAATGAAGTAGGTGATAAAACTCCAGCAAACAATTTAGGCGGTTCCAAGGCACGGATTGTGCGAGCCAAGGGAGTGCTTCCGGTAAATGGCGTAAACAGAAGTAGCGACCATGCCACAACTGAACTTTCTCCTGTTCCGATAGTTCATAGAGAGGATCGCGCGTGACCAGTTCCCGAAGCAACGACTCCGAGAAACTCGCAGGCTCCATGGTGTAATCACTGACCCCTAACAATGGACGCCCATGTACTGTGGTGTTATCAGTTTCCAGCTCGTCCACATCCGCCTCCATATCACCACCGCTGAACATGTAGTTGACAAAGCCACATCGTTCGGAGCCGACCGGAGCCAATAATTGTTGTGGTGTCTCCACGGTCGCTCGATGGACTGGATTCCATTCGTGAACGTGGTCTTCTGCCACACCCGAGCTCCTCTGCTGGAATGCTTCGATAAAAGACCGAAAACTGGGAATCTGGATGGGTCTCTGCACTGGAGTGAGGATCCGAAGCTGAAGAGCAGGAAAGAATGCTATATCATGCAGAGTAGTGTTTTGTAATAAGTGGAATGACCATCATGATCTAGAAGAGCAATCACACGTGTGTACGTTAATCAAAACGATGAACTTCACAACAAATGCATGATAAACTAGGTAGCTCCATCGTGGCTCACAGAATAGTTTGACAGGTATTGAAAATCATTCCGAGTTTTCGAGTTTTAATTGGAATCATCACGCTTCCGGGGCCTCCTAAACAACGATGAAGGAGATCTGTACGAAACTAACATTTACGGAAGCCAATTGTATGCTGGCATTGTCAATGGTGAAAGGATCCAAAGACACAGTAACACAAATCATCATCATCATCATCATCATTACACGTTAGCTGGAGGTGGAAAACACCTCAGCTATTGTGCCGCAATACAAAAGGCAAGAAAAGAAGAAAAAAACAAAACAACAACAACAAACAGTGGCACGCCCGCTGAGTCCCCAGTAACGGATGGACATCGTTCCGGAGAGCTAACAGCTGGCTGCCGTAAAAGAAAGTCATATTATGCCAAACGATTGAGATCGTGATTGAATGGGGGACACTAAACAGGAGGGGGATGGGCAAAGGAAATCACAACACAAACGCCATTGGGGCCGGCACCTAGCCATATCAGCAAGTGTGTCCAACCAAACGTGTTCACCGTCCTTAGGACCCCAACCAGGCAGTCGGGATGCACCAACCGACGCCAACTTCGAAGTGAGGGTTTTCATTTCTCTCGACCAAGTCATCACTTGGCCTCCCCTCCTCCTCTTCCAACCGCACCCACAACGCGCAAACAAAGCACGTCGTGGGAGTCGGTGTGCTGGCATGCGCAACACGTGGCCCAGCCATCGGAGCCTGGTGCGTGATATAATCGTGCTGAGCGGTTCACTCGCTCTTCCTGTACCAAATACGCGACGCCGAACACGCTCATTGCTCACGCGGTGTTCCCACCAGACATGAGCTAAGCTGCGAAGGCAGCGATGATCGAATGTGACGAGTCTCTTCATGTCTGTCGACCTGATGGGCCAGGTTTCACAGCCATATAGGAGAGTTGAACGGACGGCTGCGTTGTAAACTCTGCCCTTCAGGGCGAGAGTAATGTCGCGTCTGCGCCACAGGTGGCGGAGATTGGCAAAAGCACCTCGAGCTTTTGCTATACGGTTCGTAACCTCATCTTCAATCCCACGGGTGCTAATATAGCTGCCCAGGTACTTAAATTCCTGAACGACTTCTAGCAGATCACCACCAAGCGTTAGCGCAGAGTTGGGTCCCTGCCAATCTTGGAGAAGTACTTTGCATTTCGATGAAGAAAAGCATAGCCCAAAACGATTGACAGCCAGTGCTAATCGGTTCAGTGCTGTTTGGCATGTTTGGGAGCTGTCACAGATTAGGGCAATATCGTCTGCATACTCCAAGTCAAGAAGTCGCTCACCAGGGAGTAGCTCCACACCTTCTAGGTCGTGTCCAGCGAACGCTGTTTCCATGACTTCATCAATAGCGAAGTTGAAGAGGAAAGGTGACAGCGGGCATCCTTGTCTCACACCGCTGGTGATACTGAAGGGTGGCGAGAGTTTGCCATAAACCCTCACCCTGCCCGAACTATGTGCGTACAGCGCTTTGATAATATTTACATATTTATCAGGCACACCTTTCCTCAACAGACAGTCCCAAAGGGCACATCGATCGACTGAGTCGAAGGCACCTTTTATGTCAAGAAACACGACAACGGTGGGTCGCCAATAAACATGGCGGTGCTCCAACACTTGCCGCAATGTGAAGATGTGGTCGATGCAGCCCCGACCTCGACGAAATCCGGCTTGCTCTTCACGAATCTGGCTTTCACGAGTGCCACTCAGTCTGTGGAGAATGAGAGAGGCAAGCAATTTAGAGGCAATCGAAATCAGACTGATCCCTCTATGATTGCCACATTCTAAACGGGAGCCTCCCTTGAAAATTGGGACAATGACGGAGCGGTTCCAGTCTGTCGGGACTGTCTCCTGCTCCCAAAGTTTTACTAGCAACTCGTGTAGATCATCTACTAGAGCAGGTCCACCGAATTTGAAGAGGGCTGGAGGAATCGTATCTGCTCCTGCGGCCTTATGCAATTTCAACAGCTTGATCTCACATTCGACTTCTGCGCGTGAGGGCGGATCCAAGGAGACGGCCCAAGGAGAAGGGCGCTCAATGCCCGAAGAAGAAAACGATAACTCAGGTTGGTTAAATTGCATAGCAAAGTGTTCAGCCCAACGCTCCAAGCGTTTTGACAGGCTGTGGATCATCTGCCCACTCTCGTCGCGTATGGTCTCGCTAACACCAGGTCTTCTGCTGCCTGTTGCCCGTATCAGACGGTATAACTCACGATGATTACCAATGGCAGCGTCCGTTTCCATCTCAAAGGCACGATGAGACCACCAGGTTTCGCGGTCCTTCTTTAGGCTAGCACGTAGTTTCACCCTGAGATTTTTGCGTGCTTCATTGTATACGCTTCCAGCCGGAATACGTCGGCGAGCATCCATAAGTTCGAGAGACTGTGTAGAGACGCAATGTCCGGTTTTGCAATTTGTTTTGCCACATGAAGATATGCCTGCTAACAGCAACGCTTGACGAGTATGCGACCAGTGATCTTCAACGGTGTTTAGTGGGCGCTTACTCAGCCCAGATGTCAGCGCATCTTGGTACACATTCAGAACATCTGACTTCGCAAGCTGGCTAGTGTCAATCCGTTCACATCGACGTTGCGGACGTCCACCGAAACGCATCAGGAGGTCGGCACATACAAGTGCGTGGTCAGAGTCCACGCTCGTGCTCCAAATCGAGCGACAGTTTTGGACACAGCCTCTCCAGCGGTAACTGATCGCGATATGATCGATTTGCGTCCATGGCTGGCCCGAGGCTGGTGGCCGCCAAGTCACACTTCTGCGGGTGCTGTGTCGAAAGTTAGTGCTCGCGAGAAACAGGCGAGCATCTTCACACAGCTGGAGCAATCGCTCACCATTATCATTACGGGAGCCTACACCATGTTGGCCGCCCAGATGAAGCTCAACTCCGTATCGGATAGGCTATACAAGCTGTCCACAGCGAGAGCGCGTACATTGGCATCCGCGATTCCGCTAGCACCACCACGGGTTCCGTTACCCGCGGCTGACTGGACGATAGAGAGAGCACTACCTGCGTTCAAACCCATTGCACCGAGCAGTTGTAGAGCCACGGTAACAGGCAACCGGCGGGGCCAGGAATGAAGTAGGTGATAAAACTCCAGCAAACAATTTAGGCGGTTCCAAGGCACGGATTGTGCGAGCCAAGGGAGTGCTTCCGGTAAATGGCGTAAACAGAAGTAGCGACCATGCCACAACTGAACTTTCTCCTGTTCCGATAGTTCATAGAGAGGATCGCGCGTGACCAGTTCCCGAAGCAACGACTCCGAGAAACTCGCAGGCTCCATGGTGTAATCACTGACCCCTAACAATGGACGCCCATGTACTGTGGTGTTATCAGTTTCCAGCTCGTCCACATCCGCCTCCATATCACCACCGCTGAACATGTAGTTGACAAAGCCACATCGTTCGGAGCCGACCGGAGCCAATAATTGTTGTGGTGTCTCCACGGTCGCTCGATGGACTGGATTCCATTCGTGAACGTGGTCTTCTGCCACACCCGAGCTCCTCTGCTGGAATGCTTCGATAAAAGACCCAGATGAAGCTCATCAGAGGACAACTTTCCGACTTGGGCGTTTAGATCGCCAGCCAGCACCACAGTATCCGTACTCCTTCTGTAACGAAGGAGCTCGTGAAGTTGCTGATAGAAATCATCTTTTACCGAATCAGTGCTACAGTTTGTAGGGGCGTAGGCCGCAATGACAAACAGGCACCGTTTGTCCCCGCGCGACTTCGAAGCACGGAACGAACCAGCTAATCTAACGGCGCACATTCTACTGTTTACTGTGATCCAATCAAGCAAGGCAGCTTCAGCCCGGGGACTCAAAACAATGCCGACGCCAGCTTGACCGGCATTTGAAGCTGCATCATCGCCAGATAGGCGCAATGAGAATGTGCCGCCAGTGTCGCATGTGGGGGATCTCAGGGTAAGCACGGAGCTCGAACCTTGCAGGCGGGTTTCTGATAAACAGCAAATATCGATCGATAGGGTCTCTAGTGTGCGGGCAAGTGCTGCCTGTTGGCCAATCTGCAGCAAAGTGCGCACGTTGAGGCATGCCAATCTTAGCGAGACACGAGGACTCCAAAGGGAAACGGATGAACTGATGTTGTCCGCTTGGTTGAACATGGACTTGTCGACTGGATTGGAGCGAGGCCCTGCGATTGTGTGATTTGAAATTAGAAGACAAGCGACTATTGAAGTAAGCTGGGGGAGGGCCAAGAATTGGGGGATTGAAAATGGGGGGGATATAAGTAAAGTTGGAGCGGGACAATAAGGATGCAGAAGCGCAAGAAGGGGTATAAGAAGACGGGAAGGCCTGAGCAGTAGCATCCAAACCCCTATCCACCCTGCTCGATGCAGCAGATAGGGCGCCGTTTATTATCCTCTGCGACGGCCAGAGCATCAAGAAATTGTTGTAGGAAAGGTTCATTGCAATGGCAGTAACACAAAAGCTAGTTATGGAACCATGTGTCAAAATAATGGACTACAGTTTAATCGAAATCCATAATACATGTATGCTATGGCCGAGTCGCATTACCTTGAACTGGCAATTTTAGTGTCTCATCCTGTATTCAAGTGAGAAGCAACACAAAAGACAGATGTGGTCTACCATCAGTAATCCAGGTAATCGTGCAATGTGTCGTCCTAAGTAAAAGAAAATAGTTCCCGCGTGGGTCTCTACGAGCAGGACGGCATTTATCGAGCAGGTAGCTAGGTAACGTTTTCGTTGATACCTTTCCGGTGTCTGCATTGGAATGAGTTGCCCAACAGTATTTGTCGTTTATATGTTGCAGACCCCCGTCATTCACCAATTAGCAGAGCAACCGTCCGTACGCACCAGTGACAATCGGTTAGACTAACGGTTCGGAATAAACATATGTAGGAACATTGTTCTGCTAATGTGAGTCGTCTGATTGTCGAGACTTGTGATAACTTTGCCACATAAAAACGCGTTTCGTTTTCATTAGGAATAGATTTTTCGTAAAAGCCCAACTTGACATTTTACAATCTCGAAGTGCTATGGGATAAATGATACTGAAAGCATAAAAAATAAGCATTTTTGGTATACCGAAAAGTGTTCGAAAAGCAGGCCTTTACTAATTGCTACAACAGAAGAAATGCTTAGTTATACGCAAGACGCTAAGCCACATATGGCAAAAGTATGTCATAATGGGAAAGTACACAGGTCACTCCGATTAGTCTGACGGATGGAGAGAGAAAAAAAGCCAATAGCAACTGCGCGATGCGTTTGATTATCTCAAGCGCAGTTGGCACCAAAATACGGTGGCGCCGCGGTTATATGAATCGCATCGTCAAGATAATGGTAAGTAAGAAGGGTGAGAAAGATGAGGTTGAACGCAAATGTAGTATAAAGAGAAAGGCACATGCATTGAGCCAAATCAAAATCAATCGATTCAGATCAAGTAAATAAGCGCTAATGACTCCGTCACCGAGTCACTGCATAGAATGTGTTTGATTTATTAAAATAACTGGAGTTTTTAGCATTTATGAAGTTTACCTTCCACAGTGGGTGAGTTAGAAGTGTGTGAAACCACGGAGAGCGAACAGCGCTTCAACACACCTTGAGTGTGAAATCTGGATTGGGGTTCTCGAGAACAGTGCCAGCAGGATACAACCGGTTGAACTGCTCCACGGTGAACTGTAGCAATGAGGCCGGCCACAGGTTGAGATTGATTTCGCCAGAGATCATGAATCCTTGGTGATCGAAAAAGTTCACGTTTGCCCATCCAACAGGATAGTCGTGCTGCGGAAATGAGAGTTTTGTTGGAGACACAAGTAGAAAGTTAACTATAGTTATGCGCTACAATCGGTGTATCTAGCGTCATCTGCAGTATATTAAACATTTGGACGAATGTTCTTTCGTCACATAAAAATAGTGCCATAAGAACTAGTTAATCATACGAGAAAGAGGAGGGGGCCTCAAATTAAGACAGAGAAACGCCATATGTTCAGATAAGAAGTTGAAGAACAAGTAGACCATCGACAGGTGACAAATACTTTTTATGACATTTCTGCTCATGTTCCGATGGAGTTATGCATATTTAAATCACAACTTGCTCGCAGAATACAGTATACCGTTCATTTGTGTGTTTTATCTCTTCTCATTTTCTTTTATCATTTATCAGAATTATCGTCGTTATTATCGGTGAGGTTAATGACTAGCGTAGGGGGCAGTGCACTGAAAAAATTGTCACCCAATTCACAATTGGAAGCAGTCACAATATATTCGATAGCATACATCCGCAAGTCTCATAAGCCATCACACCAAACAAAGCGGGGATAACGGTCCACTCTTGTCTTGGGCCTCATCTCTATTGTGCGTCCATTTTAGATCCGGCTCCTTCGCTCAATTTATCCTCAAATTTCAGGCATTTAGATAGAAAGTAAACGATGCCAACGTTAGCTATGGTGGCTCTTATAAGGCCTGCAGATGTATCGCATCGAATAGATTATGACGCTGTTTCCAATTGTGAACTGGGCAAACCCATTGTCTTCAGTGCATTGCCCCCCCCCCGGAAATTCAGTTCCGCTGATATCACTTGTAGTTAACCGCACTGTCATTAATAATAATAATAATTAATATAAATGATGGAAGATAAGATAAAAAATACATACACAAACGTATGGAGAGCAATTCAAGAGAGGAAGAGTGCGCAAAGGTATGTTCGTCATGTGGAAACGTTAGGGGATGTAAGAAAAATGACGATGAAACAATCAAAGTTGCACCTGGGCCGAGATATTGCCAGGGCGCCCAGATCTATAGAAGTGAACGATAAGCGTCATCAAACAGGTTTTTAACTCATAGGCTTGCCCGCAAGACAGCAAGGAGGTGACAACGAGCAGTTTTTACAGAAAGGGGCGCCATAGCATTTTTAAGCCCCGACCTGAATAAACAGGAGACTGAGTTCGTCTGACTTCTAATTTCCATGTGGTGCCAGCTAGGTGGCTCGGGTTAATCCCGTTCCAGCGAATAGTTCGGCAGCAGTGATCCAGGACCTGGTGAGTTTTCGTCTGCCAAGCGTTCTCCCTATAAAAAGCCACGAAGGTCCGTTTAACAACACTGCGACGTGGCGGATGTTACTCGCCACTAAATAAAATCACTGCCTCTTGCCCTTCCAATCTTCCCCACTCCACGAACGTCAACCAGTTCGAAGAGTTCCTTTGATCCATTCATACGATGATGAACACAACAAACAAAACAAAGGAATTCAGTCACAACATACAAGTCCACTCAGACACATATGGCTGGCAGCACCCGGTTTCGGATTTGCCTGTCAGTGTGGCCAGCCACAGGACGCCTGCGCCTACAGAGGGACCATGGGTGGTTTGCGCTGCACCAACCACACACCCCATATCCGGTGTAAACCCGAAGGAATAAGATCGGAAGACATTCGGATGGGAACCACGTTTCATCAACGGAGCCGGCCGACATTCCTTCACAGGCAAACACAATCACGCGGTATTTGGGGGATCAAACTCACAACTCCACACTGAGTGCATGGAACCAACCTTCGAGCCTAGCACGGCCACAAGGACCGTGCACCCCATCCCCTCCAGCAATGACCAACTGTCTCCTGGAGCCAGTATGGACGATGTAGCGGGAAATAGACAGGTAGGCACCTTGTCAACATGCACATCAAGCGCAGCCACACCGGGGATGTCAGACAACAGCCAATCGCTTGAAATGACCTTATCAAATGAAATATATCTGTTAGAACAAACCACGAGCAGGTGAGCGTTACAGTGAGCTCTGACAATTTACTTGATTTCTTCGTGCAAACTCGCCGCAACTTGGAGCTTCATACATCATTTCATTGGATTTCGTGTGAGGAATCTATTGTTGCAGTTTTTTGGATATATTCCTGTCGGTTTCTGCAAAAACTGTGACAAACTGCTTCTCTACGGATTACCATCTTTCGTCAATCGGCACTTTTATTGCCTTCCGTCTATTCTAAACTCGACAAGACTATTTCTGATCTCAACTGCAAGACAAATTCGAGTGCCATCGAATAAACCCTTAGCCATCTCGATTGGCTTTCATACAAGCTAGATATCGGAAAAAATCTGCCAACAGTGTGACCGTTGACGCATTGCGAAAAAGCTGACGGTGACAAACACCGCCCGAAAGCCAACAGCGCCGTGAATCGATTGATAAATCGCAAGTCGTTCGCCTGGTTGACGCATCTCGCCGACGTGATCCGATAACACGTGACCCGAGCGCACCGTGTGCGTGGCAAGTCGTGACACGAAATCAACTTTGCAACTGACCTGACGCTGAGCCGTCGGGAGACAAAGGGCATTGGTGACAGACGTGCACAACTTACACGAAGGCATGGATTTTGCTAGTCAACTGCGGTGCGTTCCCTCTGTTCCTCACTGATTCGTCCAATTTTCTGGTTTCACTTTCTCACTATTAACAGTTAGCAACCACGCTCAGAGCCATTTTTTATTTTTGTTATCGTGAAACTTACGTTTGGTTTTCTCTCATGTCTGCAGTAAGGACACGCGCGATGAGAAAAAGTTGTGTTGTAAACAAGGATGTCCCCATCTTAGTTCAGAAGCTCAGCGAACAAACTAAGGTACCACGCAAAACATCCGGCGGTAGTAGCAGAAAAAGCACCCGAAAGAGTGTAGGCGCTGTGACAGATGGTTGTGCATTTCTTGCTGACCTGAAAAAGACACCTGAAAAATGTCCCTTTGTAGCTGAAACTGCGTATGCTGCGCTATCATTAAAAGTTGACACGCTCACATCTATGCTGCAGCCCATGCATAGTCTGTTTGCCTTATATGAATCGCCCTCAGATATTGGTAAAATGCCTATCACGCAATGTAGCTCGCTGATTTACTCAATTTCCACCGAAGTACAAAATCGAGTACGTTGCTCACGCAATGCTGTGCTTTTTAATGTACCTGACAAGCTACCTATGAAAACTGTTCAGACAGTTCTACTGTCTGCGTGCGGCATGCAAACTTGTTGGTCCAGCTGCACTAGGCTACGTAAAAAGTTTATACGCTATGACTGGCCCATACTATTCCAGTTTGAAAATGAACTAATTGCTAGACAATTCATTCGAAATTGCAATTTGATTCAGCATAATACGACTTTCAAACGTCTGAAAATAATAGAGGACAAAACCCCCTTACAGCGAGAGCTTAGAAGACGACAGCTAGAAGCAAACCCGACTGCTAAACCCCATTCTGAAAATGTTTCTGTTGGTGGCAGCGACAAGTTTGGCATTTGTTCCACGCCTGCTGCAGTTACGGATAACGTGGCGAATAACGAAGTCAACTCTGGTACCCCAATTAGATCGCTTGATCACACGGATCAGTCTAGCCCGTTATCTGCTGTGTCTAGGAGTACGCCCAGTTTCGGCACTTCGGCTATGCCGGCCACAAAATTGATCACCGGCACACATCCACCAGAACGAAATTTCACGGTTAAGCGTGATAAGCCGACCAAACACAAAATGCCTGCAAACCCCAGCGCTGCGGTTGTGCACGGTGCTGCCTCTCAAAAAGCCAGTTCCGGTAATCCTAAAAGCTTCTTCAATGCTGTTTCATGCCAGAAAAGAGGAAACAATGCGGTTCAGACAAAACCAACTGCAGTACCCGTTGAACCCTATATTCAATCACAGCCACAAACTTCAGCCTGTGTTATCCCGCCAAAAGTCTACCCTGGCCAGTATATAGGATCATCTAAGACATCTAAGGACTCAGGAAAATGGATCGATTGTATGATGACGGTTGACTTGGATTTGTCGAGAATGTCACCGGATAAATCCATAGCATCGCCTTGCGTGAATAGCCATCCATCCATTGATCAAGGCCATGAAGGCACACAAGGTTCCCCAACATCTTTGCAGATTGAACGCGATTTATCTGTTTATCACCAAAATCCGGACTCATGTTTAAAAAACACGATGTATTCTGTTCGAGCTGCATGGATTGACACTAGTGTGCCTCCACCGCTTATAGTGAAGCCTTACGACTCCAGCGCACCTAAGCAGGTTACATTCCACGATGAAAATGACGATTGCGTATTTACTCATTTCACTAATCTATACAATCAACAACCTATTAGTGCCACGACGCAGGCGACACAGCCTCGAAATTCAGCGTCTACTAGCGAGTTCCATGGAAGCCCGCTCTATAATCCTCCTGCCCGCATGAGCTGCTATGCCGACCATGAACCCACCCCCGTATCCCATTTTCTCCAGGGCCATAATCAGTCACAAACCCCTCCCCTGTGGCTACCTCCCAATCCCTTTTCAACGAAGGTGTCAATCCACGCCTTGTTTCACCAATTTTTGGCATGGGCACAGACACAAAGCTATCAGACCCAATGTTCATAAAGCAGCATAAACAACGTTCTTCACATCCCGCATCTATGTTAATATTTTTGATTAATATTCGTTCGCTTCATTCCAAGATCCACATACTACGCTCATTTGTTTCTGTGACCGATCCTGACATAATATTTATAACTGAGTCGTGGTGCCATGACGACATGTCTAACACCCAGCTAACCATTTTCGGATATGATATGTTTATGAGAAATCGGCAGTGTCGTCGAGGAGGAGGATGCGTACTTTACGCGAAACAATCGCTGGCAGCAACGACATTCGAGAATCCAGAGCTGAATAATGTGCAAGAGTCACTTTGGCTTACGATAACGATCAGACACCAGCAACTGCTTGTTGGTTGTATATACAGCACGCCAAACTGTAGCCAAGAGGATTTAGT